TAATACCCCCTCCCCCAGCAATAACAATATATAGCACCCCTCACGCAGTGTAGCATCCCAGCACTGCATTAGAAAGTCAGCTTTGACTGTGTGGTACCCCAAGGCAGCAGAACAGGGCACAGGGTCAGGGCTGCAAAGGGCAGTGTCAGGTCGGAAACCAAGAAGCATTTCTTTATTCCGAGATGGAAAAGGTTCCTGGGAAAGGCGGTTCAGACCAGGATGCTGTATTCACTTAGCAGTTTGATGCTACAATTGGAGAACAGTGGATATTTTGAAAGGATGAGATCAAATGTGCCAAACCTTCATCCAAACCTCGTGATCATTGTAGGCCAAATGCTAAGATTATTTAATGTTACTAACTATTATTAATATTTTTTTACAATGAATGGTATGACTTATTCTTTTTGAAGCAAAAGCTAATTAGAAGCATTTTGGATAAACAAATTCTTCAACTAAATTTGAATAAATTCTCAAAAAAAATATACACAGAGGAAGTATAATGCTTTTCATAGAGGACATGTAATGCATTTATCATAATCTTTGCATTTGGAATAACACCTTCACATCAGGAGGATATCTTTCCTTCGCAGGATAAACTGTAAAGTGCAATGACTGTGGATTTGTAGGGAACACGACAGCCAGTTTGCACACAGCAATGTCCCACAAACAGCCATGAAATGAGTCACCAATTTCATTTGACGTCCAACTGTAGACCCAATGGTGACTCTTAAGCTAACTCTTTCACACTGGGGTTCCGATTCTCCTGCACTTCAATAATTCAGCTAAAACCAAACAGCGTTAGATTAAAAACTATACTGATCTGATGTCAGGGAATAATATTTGCAAATGCAAAAACATCATTTGTATAGAACACGTATTACGATTAAACAACATCAATATACCATATAGTGCACAGGACTTGTTTAGAAAAAGGCAGCTTGATGCTATGATAGGGAGACAGTGAGGTGGGTATTCTGGAAGGATGAGATGGTGGTGGGGGGTGGCTGGGGGGGGGGAATGAAGAAAATAGATCTTCCAACCAACCCAATGCCAATGTAACACACTACACTCCGCCGGGCTTTGTTGCACCTCTATTTTTTTTTTAAAAAATTAAAATATGCGGCGAAACAGAACATTTTATATTTAGTCGTTAGTTCTGAGTGGAGTCATGAAAAAGCAATTTAGATCTGGGAATGCAAGAACCTTTCATGTGGAAATTGAGTGCGCATTTGCCTTTTGTGAACAGATGAGCCATTTTTTCCCCCACCAGAACATCTATGCCAGCCGTATACAGATACATTTTTATCTCATCCCTTGGCAGTTGAAAACCATTTTGGTTCAAATCTCCATCGCAGGCCCACATCCTCTCTGAAGCTACACATTTCTGGTACTTCCTGATTCTTCACCAGCGTTGCTTTGAATAGCAGTGATAGGAAATGATGTCTGAACACTGAATCCATCATCACCACCACAACGCTTTGGGAGAATGTTAGTTCTGCTGGTGCTAACATGCCTGTGAAATTAACAGCGTCACAGCAGCTGAAATGGATTTTGATGAAAGCCATTTAATGAGTAGATTCATTTGCATGCATAATAATATAACAATTCAAGGGGACTTTTGTTTCCCCCCCTTTCAGAAGTCAATCCTCTTGGTTTTATTAACCCAAAGTGTAACTAATTAAGACATCATGAATTTCATGAATTACAACCAAGCTTTTGGCAAATTTACCAATGTAAATTTGAGTGACATTTCCATTTAGATCTTACAGAGAAGTATTGGGGCTTTTTTAAACTATGATTTTCAGGCACATTGTTGTTTTGTGGTCAATTTATTTTAAAAAAACATTCACTCTACTGCCTTTTAGTTTTACCCTTTGTCTGATCTGCTCACAAAGTCTTCGCAACTCTTCTTTTCGAGATTCACTATTCCTGAGCTACATTCCTCAGTTACGCAGCAAAATCTATAAAGCTGGTTTATATTTTAACATCAGAGCTGTAGGGTCTCACACAATACAATGTACCTTTATATAGAGCTTTTCATATTGAGATGATGTCTCAAAACACTTGTTCTTACCATCTATAAGCTGACATTGAACTAAGCTTTGCCCAATTGTTTGTGGGCCCATGAAAAAAGGACCCAGGATAAAGATTGCGCACAATGCAATTTCAAAACAATTTGTTTCAAACCATGATATTGGCTTGCACCACACCTTGCATGTGCATGAAAAATTCATAAGAGCTACTTGCTGTAGAGAAGCCTCATTCATTAATCATTTTTTTGATTGACACACACGGAAAACTCATCACCGTGCTTAAGAGTATCCAAATCCAAGTGTATGCCACCTACACACAGAAAATCTTTGTGTGTGTGGAATGAACATCTGAGCGCTTTGAGACATCTCGAAGGCGTGATATGGCGTTATATCAAATGCAAGGATTATTATTATGAAACGCGCACTTTCTCCACGTTGGGACGCACCATGCTTACCTAATCCCAGAGAGAATTAGGCAGAGGTTGGCGAGAGACAAGGCTTGGGGGAACCCAGAGTGTGTGTTGGGATAACTCACCCAATCAGTCATTTTACACCAGTGACAAATTAATGTATTGATATCCGTCAACAGCAAAATAACTCAAACGTACACAGCAACTCAAAGGAGCAGTTTCCTCTCAGCTTATTGAATTACGAAGGGTGTGTTCATTCTGTGGCCTGTTTTATTCCTTACGGTCTAATTCATCTCAGTAAAGTTAAATAAGACAACCAATAACTGGCACTTGGTTTGTAATCCAATCAAGGGAATATATCTATATAAATTGCTCTCAAGATCAGCAAATCAAGAATGCATTACAGTGCTGTAGTAAGCTTTTATACCATAAAACAGAACTTAAAAAAAAACAAATTAGGCGTTGCATCAGGAGTGTGTGTGTGTTTGTGGGGGTGGGGTGGGGAGGGGGGGCGGAAGAAAAACAGGGGAAGTTGAAACCATCTATTACAGTAGAACATTTGAACTGAACATACATAGTATCACATGACAAGGTGAATCTTAAAGATCCCACAACATTATTGGGAAAAATAATAATGGACTTTCTCGCAATTTTCTGGCCAACAATCCATCCAATACACTGATCATTCACTCCATAGCAGTTCGTGGGACCTCACTACACAGAATATGGCTGCCTTTTGTGCCTTACAAAGACTCGGTCACTACACTTGACAATCATGACACGATGAGGTGCTATTTTAAAAGAACAAGTACTTGCGCAATTACATTATTATTATTATTACTATTAATTTCCCCGTTTACTAAGCTTCAAAATCATACAATTTATATTTGCAAATATAAATTGTCTGAAGGACATCAAAGCGGCACATTGTGGAATAAACCTGATTTCCAAGTAGAGTCCATTAAATTAAGATAAACGTACAGAGTCCACTTTGTCTGTCACATTTCCCTCAAATTATCAGTAGGCTCTCACTCGTTTTGTATCCGTTCAATCCCTCTTCACTATCAGCTCTGCTCATTGCTGCTGTACCTCTCTGTACAAAAATGATCCAGAACACAATTACACAGACACACACATTTGCTCTTTGTCATTTCTCTCCCCAGTCAGTCAGTCAGTCAGTCAGTCAGGTGGAGCTATTCAAAGCTCCTTTACAATGAGAACTGCATTGTAAAACTCACAGAAACTGCAATGGTGGCCTGTATAAAACACAGCGACGCATTAAAATGCCCATTTTCAGGCACATTGGTTCATCTATGAAAAAGGTAGCTTTCCTATTATTTGGGGATTATACAAGGGAGGGGTTGCCTAATACACTGAAAGGGATGACAGATACTGAGACTGCAGGATGGTCAGGGCTTGCTTGCATTTGACAGATAGACAGACAAGACAGACAGACCCTCAATAACTCATTGGTGGCAACACACTACAGTACAAGCTTGACACATTCATGAAAGAGAAGCAGCAACGAGCCTTTGCCTGGTGTTAGATATTAGTTCAATAATTGCGCCATTCATTCACCATTTTAACTGCTGGTACACAATAGGGAACAAAGACAGGATGGTGAGGTGCAGTTATACCAGTGTATTTACTATATGGGGGAGGGGAGACGCCAACCTATTATATTAACACAGGTATTAAAGACAATTACTGCGCCCATCTCGTTTTTCATTATTAAAAAAAAGGTTATCTGTGTTCAATTTCACAAGAGATATTGTAACGAAAGCAATACCTGGACCAAATAATGGTACACCAGTGACCAACAAAAAAATCCAATTCACCACCCAGACTGGTGGATGCACACACAAGGGGTTCAGGAACAGTTTGCATTCAGGTCAAATTGCTGTCCTGTGTCACTGGATGTAAAGATGGGGAGGGGTGTGGGGTTTTGGGGGTTGCAAATCCAATTGAATTAAAAAGCACACAGTCTATTTCACTGTCTCTCTCCCACCCATTCTTGATTAACAAGGACAGGACGTTATTGCACAATGGATCACCTCGTTTTATATATATATATATATGAATATATATACATATAATATATATTTAATCTGCTTATTATAATTCTGCCGGACACTTCTTCTAACCCCAGAGCTCAACTTGCAATCATTAATATATAAATAAATAGATACATAGATAAAGATAGATAAATAGATAGACGAATAAATAAATGGATGAATATATAAATAGATAAACAGATAGAGAGATAAATAAATATATAAATAGATAGATAAATAAATAAGTAAACAGATATAGATAAAAAGATAGATAAGTAGATAGATAAATAAATAGATAAATATCGATAAATAGATAGATAGATAAATAAATAGATAAATATAGATAAAAAGAGATAAATGGATAGATAGATAAATAAATATAGACAAATGGATAGATAAATAGATAGATAAATAGACAGATAGATACATAAATAAATAGACAGACACACAGATAAATACGTAAATAAATAAACTGATAAATAAAAAAAAATAAGCTGACTTACCTTAAAGCCACTTTGACACAACATCCCTCTTGACTGCTCGCCATTCGTGAAGCCCCTGTGAGTGTGAGTGAGTGTGTGAGTGAGTGTGAGAGTCCCTTCACCTTTCATCCAACGAGAAGAAGAAGAAGAAGAGTCGAATCACCTTTTTTTTTAAAAAAAAAACACCCCCAAAAAAACTAGACACCCCCCCACCACCACCACCACCCCCCACCAGAGAGAAAAAAAACAAATCCAAGACAGGGTCGGTCCTCAAGGAATAAATAAATCAATCCCAAACGAAACCCAACGACAGTATAGGGAGGTGTGTGGGGGGGAGGGGGGGGGCGCAGGATGGAGAGAGGCTCATCCCACAGATAACGGGGCACAGAGACTGAGACGGTAACAACTGAGCCTCAGTGGCAACATCGTGTGTTACATTGTAGTCGCGATGAGGATCTGCAATACAATGTCCCAACGCTGAGACGGACCTATAAAGAGAAAAGGCTCAGATGCACACACACACACACAACATACATGCACACACACATACATGCACACACACATGCATCCGATCATACATACATGCATACAGTCTCTCTCATTACCAGGCAACGCACACACACATACCACACACATACACACGCACCACACACAGAGCTTTTGCACACAGATGGGAGAGAAAGAGGGGAGAGAGAGAGAGAGAGAGAAAAAAAGATGTGTGGACAGAGAGAAAGAGAGAGAGAGAGAGAGAAAGAGGGTTTTTATGGCTGGACTTGGGAGTGATGGGCACACAAGTCGAGAGACATTGCACACAGAGAGAAAGAGGGGAAAAAAAATCTCTCTCTCCCTCTCTCTTTCTCTCTCTTCTGAAAAGGGCTAAAAAGGAGAGAGAGAAAAAGAAATTTGCTCCAATCGCAATTGCAAAAGGGAGGGACTCCACACACACACACACAAAAAAAGGACTTGATTACTTGACTCACAGACAAGGAGTGGTGGGAGGGGGGGAAGGAAAAAAAAGGAACTGCTTTTATATGGTTGCAATTATAACCAGATCCATCCCCCCCCCCCCCCCCCCAAAAAAAAGAAAAAATAGGGGGCTGGGTGGATTATTTTAATTGCATTTTGAACGTATGCTTTGCTGCTGCTGCTGTTGTTGTTGTTGTTTGCTGGGGGTGAAATGTTTCCTTAACGTTGAAAGTGATGCGAAAATGATTGCAGCATTTGCATTCAGTCCCAATTTTGGTGGTGGTGGTGGTGGTGGGATGGGGAGGGGGGAGGTGGATGGGGTGGGAAATCACCATTCTACATGGCTTGGGGAATCCTTTGTTTGAGGAGGAGGAAAAGGCACAGAGAGAGAGAGAGAGAGAAAAAGAAAGAAAAAAAGGGGTGGGGGGGGGATAGGGGGGAAAAGCACCCCACAAAGAAATAATATGCTGATGTGTCTGTCTGACTGTCTATTTATGTATCTTATCTATTTATCTTATTTATCTATCTATCCATTTATCTATCTATCTATCTATCCATTTATCCATATTTATCTATCTATTTATTTATTTATTGATCTATCTACTTATCTATCTATTTATTTATGTGTTCCGACATCACTGAGCTGTGTGATTTCGAAGGGTGATCAAGTCATTGTACACTTGCTTTTCAAGGCCAGCATTTTGCTGTGATGTGACTAGCTGGCCAGTAAAATCCACATCACTCCTGATTTCACTCCCCCACCCCTCCCTCTCTTGCCCCCCACCCACCCCGCCACCAAAAAAATAATAATAATAATTCTGTGCTGTCTTAAATTTTAAGAAAGCGGACTTCAGCTTAAAGCCTCCCCCACCCCCCCGGCTCAGTCATGTCCATTTTTACGACCCAACAAAAGCTGAAATGTGCGTTTTCAGATGCGGTCCACTTTGCTCACTGTAAAGGCATAATTCTTGAAAAGCCCTCTCTTCATCCCTTACATCTATCGAAGCCTTTCCCGTTAAGTTATTTCATCACAAAGGGTCATTTTCTGTAAAGTGCATTGCATTATTTTGTGCGCGTGTGTGTGTTCATAACCCTATTCTCAACAGCCCACGTGCTAATCTCTTCATTGTTCCTGTAATTACTGGAGACTAGCCAGTGTAAATATATGCTAAGCTCGGCAGTCTGTCTTATGGTTGCAAAGCACAAAGTAAAAATGATTCGATTAAATGAATCGGATTTTTGTTTGCTCCGACGCGACGCTTTGTGATTCATTATTTTAGTGAACAGGTATGAATTGCCCGAGAAAAAAAAAAGAAATAGTGTTTCCTCCTAAAGCGCTTTAATTGTTTTCTACAGGGATCAATAGCAGTAACAGGCAATTTGCTTTTGGATTCTTCTGACCTCTGCTCCGAGCTGCAATTGACACAGAAGGCCGCTTCTTTAATAAATGGACCGTGTGTTACTATTGTTAACCTGAACCTCCCCGCAGAAATCTTTAAACATCTTTAAAGGAATTTGAGCTTAGTCAGGCCCTTTTTTGAGGTCTGTTTTACACCAGAGAGGAGACGTCAGTCTTTGGGCCACGGGGAATGCGAACGCCAAGTCAACTGTATTGAAGAGGGAAAGCTGTGAGGAAGTGTTTATTATTTCCCCCTCTTCCAATTTTCTCTCTCTCTCCCCCGCTCCCCCCCATTTAAGACATTTGACTCCTGTTTTCCTTTTGTTTCCATGGGCACCTGCCATCTCCAGTGCTTTTCCCTGAGTGTCGATTGACTGAACCCAGGGAGACTATTTGGGAGGTATTTCAGCTGACCTTGATACTGTACGCATGCACTTGCCAATATTGGTTAATAAATGGGGATTGGAGTGCAAATCCACGTTCTTCTCAGGGACCCAAAGACAATGAGACCAATGGTGGCACCCCAACTATTACACTGCCTGCCTACCTCAACACAGACCCGCTTCAAACCTTTGGCCTCTTCATTTATGGCTCAATATGGCTGGGGCGTAGCTTTTTAAACAGAACTTTCAATCACATAAACTCCAATACACAGAGTAATTGCGTTGTGGGGTTGTTGTTAATCCTTTCAGTGGACATGCAGAGTGCAGGAGGTTAAGTAACGTCGCAGAGGACATGGGCTGCGTTGACAAGATCCATTGTTGGTCATTTATAAGAGGCAACAAACTGATTCGATCCTATTCGGCTGCAACACATCTATTGCCATCTGCACATTCATGCAGTCCGAGCTATTTGTGTTAACACACACATGCCCGTTGCCAAGAGGTGGGCACTGGAAAGAGTGCGCCGAATCCAAGATGTAAAGAAATGTCTCTTTGTTGCTGCAAGGCTGTTTCAAAGATGGCGGTACCAGCAATGACCTGCACTTATATTTCATGAAGGAAAATATTTCTGAGCTTCACAGAGACAGAGGGGGAGCCCGAGCAGGGTGCGAGATGGGAGTATGTGTGGGTGGGTGGGTGGGGTGGGGGGAGGGCGGGTGATAGAAGAGAGATGATGGAAGGTACAGTCGAAGAGGTACAATTACAGGAAGGTTTTGAAAGCCGAGATGGACAGTAGAGGGACTTAGTGAGACACTAAACTCACTGCTTCTATGTTTCTATGTGAGAGAGTTTCAAAGCGGGTGGGGGACAATCTGACTGAAGGCTAGCCCGTCGATAGTGGGCAGAGGTGGTGGGATGGGTAGGGGTGGGTGGGTGGGTGGGGGGATGTGGAGCAGGCTTGGCTTGAGTTGAGCAGAGGTATCTATTGGAGCATTTCACTTTCTCTGACACTGACGGGGAACAACTGGACACGTGAGCCTGGATTCCCAAATCATTTAACGCATCGTACAAATCTACCACATCAGCAACTGCAAAAAGTTCCCGAGAGCAGCAGGTGTCAGAGCAGGCGACGACACAAACTCACTGACTGACTGAACAGTCAGACATGCCCCACTTCCTGTATTGATAGCTTCCTGTCAGCCACGAGATAGCTGTTTTGAAATCAGCGAGAGAGAAGAAAAAATTCAGCCGCCATTTCACACCCTGCATCAATTCCACTACAGGGTGAAGTAATACGATTCAATTCAATGCAGCTTACATCGTTATAGCGCCTTTCCCAAGCTGGGAGGACCCCTCGATTTCCATTGAGGCTAGAATGGAAATTAGAGTTCGGTAATAAGATGACAGGTGATCGTCCTTGAATTTCATACAGCACCTCCAAAGTTTCATAGGACTTCAGGAGGTTTCTGTGAGGTGTAGTGACTATCTATGAGCAACCGTAGCACCCAATTTTGCACGAAGCAATGTTCCACCAACAGCCATAAAGTGAATGACTAATTTTATCTGGAGGAATCGATCGCCAGGACAATAGGAGAAATTTATTTCTCTTATTGAATGGACATCTTTAACGTCCACCTAATCAGTCAGACCTCGGGTTAATATCTTGTGTTCTACCAGAGCAGTTGTCCATCTGAAGCACTGCATTCAAATATTAACTGATAAGTTCAAAGTCCCAACGCACAATCGTCTGGCTCAGAGGCGAGAGTGCTACCAACTGAACCATGCTTTGGTGTGAGCGGATCAGTAATTTGTGCCGAAAATGCTTGATTTTCGTAGACGCAAAATACTGCAGTAAAAATACAGAACACACAGCAAACCTTCCATTAGCACAGAACAGACAATGTGCTAACACACAGCACACAGGTACGGAAGTCTGCCTGGCGTTAGTTGAAGGTGACACTTACCACCCCGAAAGGTAGGGTGGGAGGCCTACAGATACTCCCAAATCTTTATTATTTAACTGCTGTCTGTTTCTCTCCAACATTCACTCCCAACCTACAGTCCAAATAGCAGATCCCATTCTGCTCCCTATCTCTACCATGTCTTTAGTGTTGCTCTTAATCATGTACTTATCCAGCTTTTGTTCGAAGGAGTTTTCCTGGATTAGTTCCCGGTTTCTGCAACGGATCGATCTGGATCAGAAAACGGTATTTTACATTTCTTACTCCAGAACCAGGTTGGCAGTTGAGAGCTGTGTGCAATCATAACCAGCTGTGTAACTTTACAGAGCTTTGCTAACCGGTTAGTTTAAATGTTACTAACGAGATGGAGTGCCACCAGCTCTTTAATAACATTAAAAGGCTTAAGTCTAAA